ATGCGTTCGATCAGTATGCCCTCTCCCCCCTCCCGCATAAAACGCTCGTGTCTAAAGTCACTAGATTAACAAAGTATTGCGTTGAAAAAATTCATTGAATTCGCATTTGGAGTCAAAATGGCATCGAAGTGCTATTCTAACTTGATTCTGTTAAAAGGTCGGAAATCCATACAGGGATCTGTAAGAAGAAAAAGAATTTGATTCTGTTATTATCGAAAATGTCCGGTTGTTATGTTGAAAATTGTAAAAGCCGCAGCGAAAGAGACTGAAGTTTTATAACCGCGCATCATGAAGCCAAAATGGCGGCACTTTGCGGTATAATAATAAGGCGGTATTTTGTTAATCTAGTGATTTTATTCGCGTTTAACTGTGAGCGCCGCTCCTGCCTGTCTCCTCTACGCAGCCCGTGATACGTTAACTATTATTTCTTGTAATTTGAAAACTAAGCTTCAAATTTTCGCAAAAGAAAAATCATCTTAGAATTAAGTCAGGAATATGACACTTTAAGGACAAACGTTTTTTTCTGAATTTTTTCTGTATATTCCGACGTCGCAATCGATTGAGCACACTTAGAACTTGATCGGTCCTTCCGCCCTTTTTGAGTTTCCGATAATCTCAATCTGACGCGACTCGCCGGTTCGCGTAAAGGAGATACGTCCGTATCTCGCGCTATAGCTTAGCGCCGAGACACTACCAGTGTCTCCAGATAATTTTACTAATTATATATAAACTTTCAATGCTTTTTTCAATATTTTTATGGAATATTTTAATCTGTTCTATGTTTTATTAAATATAAAAATGATCAAAACTAATTCTTTAAATAAAATAAACTTAAGGTATAGGTGATGTTAATGTTACTATTTACCAAAAATAAGTATAAATGCAAAAAATGTAAATAAGCCAAGTACATCTAAATCAAATAAATATTTAGAAACAGAAATGATTAATATTGACACAGGTGAGTAATAAAAATATTTACTTTATTTATTTAATTTTTAATTAAAATATATCTAATTATTTAATTTTTTTTATTATTTAATTTTTTTATTATATCTAGAAGATAAAAGAAATTAAACATAAAGATATCAAAATTATTGATGAAATTACGGAGACTAAACTTGTGCAAACCAAATCAAAATTATCCCATAATACTCTAAGAAAAAAGAAATTAGGATTTAAATTCTTATTACATATGAAGGAATATCTTTCAACATTAAAGTATTTATAGTAAATCAGGTAATGATATAACAAATAACGTAAAAACATTTAAATTATTGTTATTAAATATAAATAGTTTATAATAGTTTCAATTATGCCATATTTACAAAAAATTATGTTAGAAGTAAAATTTTTATTTATGAGACGCTTTAATCAAGATACTTTTGAAAACTTTTTCGATAAAGTTAGATCATTAAATGGCAATGCGTTTAATCCAACTCCCATACAATTTTATTTTACATCTAGAAAATTATTTTCTATACAGTATTATAACATAAATATAATTATAACATAAATGGAACTGTTTAGAAGATTGAGATCAAATATTAATTAATTTAAGTGAATTGAAACTATCTTCATTTATTAATAATAAACCTGTTCAAATTTAAGAAACGTTAGTTGATAATCATGATTATCACAATTTAAATTTAATAAAAGAAAGTGTTTTTAACTATATTTGTGGCTATCTTATTCGTAAGTGTCTTTAAAAACATTCTTGCAATATTTGTACTAAATATGCCAAAAGTTACTGAACTAGATGCTAACATTATTTACTGTTTTCATAGAATTTACAATTCTACAGAAGAAAATCTATTTGATGATTTATTAATGCCAAATGCTGATTTTGTACAAAATACATAAAAATATTTAAAAAATTATTTTTTGATAATGTATATGATTTTATATATATATATATATATATATATATATATATAT